AATTAGAACCCCAATGCTTCATCCACATTGTTACATGTTTCAGAAATTCATCCCCACTGAGTAGTAGTCTGTTGTATAAATGTTGTATGAATGTACCCCAACTTGTTTATCCATCCACTAGTTGATAGACATTTGTTTCCAGTTTTGAAACAACCTAAAGTTGTTGTTTTGAAACAACCTAACGTTGTTTGGTTATGAACTGAGGTGCTATGAACAGGCATGTGTAAACAAAGCTAGAATTGTAAGTCTTCAACAGAGCAGCCTGGCCAGCAGTAAGTAGGCTCCCCTGAGGTGGGAGGAAGAGTTGATGAGGCTTAGTTACAAAGAGCAGCCAGTTTTGTTAAACACAGCCATAGCCAAAAAGGAAAGGGGGTGGGTGGGGCTGGGGAGGCCTGCATTGAGCACAGAAAGGACTGCTGATGGGTGTCTTTCAGTGCCTGGGAAAAACGGATTGCAACATCATTGGCAGGACAGGATAATACACACACTCAGCCATTTTATTCTGGCATGGGCTGGGCTTGAGCCAATAGACTCAAACCTATTTTCGTGGCTGTTGTTAAAGACACCTCTGAAGTCCATCCAGGCAGTTGAGACAAAGCACACCATCTCCAGAATTAGAAAGACCTGACAAGCTTGAGGACCTTGGGTGGGCACAAGTCACTGTGTCAAGGGTGGGCATAAAGAAGACCTCCCTTATGGATTGTTGGGAGGCTTCAATGAGAAAATGTTTTTCGCTTGGCAAGTGTCTGGGGCATAAGGAGGGCTAAGTAAGCACGAATTACTTTGTTTAAAAAGCATGTAATCTCTTTGATGAGTAAGTAGTCAAACAGTCCAAATTTGGCCCTGAAGAAATTGAAATATTTGAATAGTCTCTTTAGTGACACGAACATTTCTACCAGCAGCATTATTGAAAGAATAGATTACCAATCAAAATCCGGTTCGATTCTAAATATATCAACTCAAGCACAAAAACCTAGAGTGGCTTTGGCTAGTTCCAAAGCCTACGTACCAGGTGCTTCTTAAATCAGCAGTAAATCCAGTTCAGGAGCACTTACTCAGCTGCGCTCATTCTGTGCACATGCTTGTAGGCTGGACCCCACTTCTCTGGGCTGCCTTTGCTTCAGAGTTATCTGCTGCACCTTCAGTACCCAGGAAAGTGGAGGGCCCTGTGGTGTGGTGAAAAAAGTACAAGTTGGAAGCTGAGTACTTGGATTGAAGTCCTGCCCTATATTCCTGCTGGCATTGAGTCAATGGCAGTGAATTTGGGTTTGGGTTCTTTACCCCCACCCCTACGTTAAGTCTCTTGACTGTGGCAAAGGGATTAAGGTACCTTGATGGTGGTTTGGTGCCAGGGCTGTGCTCTGTGATTGTTTGCTGACTCCAGGCTTTATTTTCCATTTTCCCACCATCCCAACCTTCATTGGCATATAGCCCAAATGGAATGGAACTGCTTTAAAGAGTGATTCGGAAATCATTTGACAAACCAGTTGATACTGCAAAATCTGCCCAGAAAGTTAACCTTCCTAGAAGGATGAGGCCCCTTTCAGCGGCAACAGGACTCCAGCTAGTCCCTTGAGTGCTGAGCGTGGAAGGGCCTTTCTTTCCTATTTTAGCCACAGGTTGAGTTGTCTGGGAGAGAGAAGGGGTCATTTACTCAGAAAAAAGGCTTCCCTCCCTCTTCCAGGTCGATCCCCTATTCCTGCCTGCCGCTCATATACCCGCTCCGTGAGTCCAGCCAACCAGGGCTCCGGGAGCGCCCATTGGAGGGTTTGTTTTTACCGATTGCCGCCGAGCTCCCGGGCTGCTTCGGGCGCTGGCACCAGGTGAGAGCCGTTTTGCGCCGGGCGTGGTAAGCAGCGCCAGCTTATCCACTTCCGGAACCCGCATAGCTCCCTGGCTGGTGGTGCCGACTCCCTGCCAGAGGGGCAGCCGGCCCGGGGATCCCGCGGGCGCGCACTTCTGAGTCCGCGGGGATCGGGACTGAGCCCTGGCTCCGTCCTGGTGAATGAGCAGAAGCGTTGAACCGAAGAGTTAGGTCCTGTCTGCTTCCCGGCCCTGGCTATCCTGGGTAGTTACACTCCTAGGACCCTCCCCAGGAACCTTGGTGGCATAGTAGTTAGTTAGGCGTTGGGTTGCTAACTGCAAGGTCAGTAGTTCAGAACCCCCAGAAAGGAAAAACCAGGCTTGCTTCTTCCGTAAAGATTTCCAGTCTCGGAAACCTAGGAGTAGTAATTCCAGCCTGCCCGATAGGGTTGCTGCGAGTGGGCATCACCTCGATGTGTGTGTGCGTGTGGATGTGAGGACCTTGGGCAGAGGACCAACTCTGCGGCGGCGCCCCTGCTGCGGGCTGGGCTCGGCGGGACACGCCGGCGTTTGAAAGCCCGCGAGCCTCTCCCATTGGAGCGCGGGGCGCGGGGAGCTCGGAAGGCGCCGGGCGGGGCCCAGGTGCTGGATGCCAGCGAGGTTTCCTAATGTTTTCCTTGGAGTTGATCCCCAAGGGCTTCTTACTCCTCTGGAGTACCCGTAGTGCTGGGCCGCACTGCCCCTCTCGCCCCCACTCTCCTTCCTTTCTACCAAAAGAGGCCTGGCAAACAATTCCACCTTAGGGACCACAGTGTTTACCCCTGCCCCTGCCGCGCTCCCGGGACAGTGCGTCTCTTTGAGGAAGCGGGTAAAATGCAAACGCTAGCGTGAGCTGGGAGCCCTTTATTTTGTATATGTGACTATTTGGACTCTCCCTCGCAGAGGGAGAATTCCAGTTAGACAATATTGTTTTAAATTTTGCTAAGAAGATTCAAGAACTAAACCCGAGTTATTTGTTTGAAAGGATGTAACGAAAGACACAGCTCTCTTGACATGCAGTCCTAACGGGAAAACCCATTCTCACCGTGTTTCCCCTTTGCTTTTTTCCCCCAGTCCAGAGCACAGCCACCAGAAGAGAACAAAAGAAAGCCAGTGTTGGGGAAACTTGGCAACCTGTTCACGGCAGGAAGGAGAAGGAACACCAGGAACGGGTTCGAGTGCCCCTCCAGCTCAAATCCCAAAAACGTAACGCCAGCTAAACTCTCCCAGCGGGAGGGTGAGAAGAGTACCGCGCCGGGCGGCCCACCCCCGCACCCCGACGCGTGCCCCGAGGGTCCCACTCCCGAGTCCGAGGGCCAGGGCTCGGAGGGCAGTGTCCGGGCAGGCCCCCTGGACAGCGAGGTGACCCCCGGCTCGGGCAGCCGTGCGGTGGAGGCGGCCGCGGTGCAGCAGGGCCACGAAAGTGCTTCACCTCAATTAGAGCCTCCGGAGGCTCAGGGAGCGACTTTCCCAGGTGCCACCACCGCTGCCAAGCAGCCGCATTCCTCGCCAGAGGATTCCCCCGGGCGAGAGCACGCAGTGACGCCCGCGCCAGGTCTGGGGGAGGACCCTGCGCTCGGCGCTGGCTGCGGCGAGCAGGAGGCCGTCCGAGGTGCGGGGGCTCTGCCGGGGACGTCCACCGGGGAGCGG